GTGGGTTTGAAATCTGAGTATTGAATGTCTCAACTAATTTGTACTATTGAGAAAGATTGTTATGAAATCATAAGGCAATTACTTTTACTTGTGAGATAACTCGTTTCATAACTTTTTTACACATAGCTAAAATCCTATAGAATGAATAAGTACTAAAGACATTTGACTTTCTTAATATTGCATTTTTATTGAATAACAACTTAAATTTGTTAACATTTTGTGAGATCTTCTGGTTTGTGATGCATATTTTTGTTTTCCAAATAGATCGAAAATTGCTAAAATACATACCTTTACCCCTTTAGGGGCACACCATTATTTAACTGCTACGACCTTCTAATATTGTTATTTTTCAATAATACAGGATCTTTCCTCCTCTCCCTCTACTTAAATACACTGTGCCAAGTCATTTAACCATTATTTAACTGCTACGACCTTCTAATATTGTTATTTTCCAATAATACAGGATCTTTCCTCCTTTCCCTCTACTTAAGTACACTGTGCCAAGTCATTTAACCATTATTTAACTGCTACGACCTTCTAATATTGTTATTTTCCAATAATACAGGATCTATCCTCCTGTCCCTCTACTTAAATACACTGTGCCAAGTCATTTAACCATTATTTAACTGCTACGACCTTCTAATATTGTTATTTTCCAATAATACAGGATCTTTCCTCCTCTCCCTCTACTTAAATACACTGTGCCAAGTCGAATGTTCCCTGTTGGGTTAGTGATAAGCTAACGGACTTGGAATGATGAAATACAGGGTTGGATTCCCTACGGTGTACAGAGCGCAGATAGCCTATTGTGTAGTTTTTCGCCAAAACAGCATCACGCCATTGTTTCGCCTTCCTGTGGCTCAGCAGCAAGTCTGAGGGATTATAACGCTAAAATCGAATTTCGATACCCGCGGTGGGCATATCACAGATAGTCCATTGTGTATTTTTGTGTTTAATAATATACAAAGCCAAGTCGAAACATTAGCGGAGCTGGCGAGCTGGGTTTGACACCGTGCGATACCACAAAATATTCTGTGTACTTTAAGCTGTGTGTGCGTTATAAGAGGGGTAGTTAATTCCTTAGCATGGATGGTGAGTGATAGGCGTGCTGCACTACCTCTGATCAGTAGTTCGAAATTAGAAACGACAACATATACCTTTAATTATTTTGCCATAAATACAAAATACAATACCAATAGGATAGATTAGTTCACCTTCGCACTATTGTCTTTTAAATTTATGCTTGTGATAATAAAAGCATCGTTAGTACGAGATAATATAACATGAGATCACAGAATAACTACAATTTTAAAATGACATATAACATCGAGTTCGTTGAAAAAAGAAAACAGTAACACAACGTTTTACAAAGGTTAATTCATTATTATCATTAACTTCAGCTAAACGTTGTGTGTGTATACTCATTCCTTTTTCAATAAACTCGATGTTATATGTTATTCAAATATTGTAAATATAATTGCATCTTTAGCTAATAAGAGTAAAGTTTATATATATATTAAAGTTCAATTAATTTTATTTTGATATTTTACTGCAAGAATAAGGATATATGATACTAGTTCTGCAAATGACATACTTCAGTTATTAAATACAAGCTGGAGTACCCGCCGCTTAAACGGAAGTTGTGTAAATAAAGGTTATCTTAGGATAAGCTGCTTCACTTATATGTTAAAAACGCCCATAAAACTGCAAAACACAAAATGTGAACTCGCAAATTTGCTTGTATCTACACATGGACCCAACAAACTTCCATGTCAGATTTGGTGAAGATTCATCAACAGAAGGTGAAGTAGTGATAAAAAACGAAAAAACGCCCATAAAAAAACACAAAACGCAAAACTGAAAATGTGTATGTATCTTTCTATGGACCCAATAAACCGCCAAACTAAATTGGTGAAGATCCATATACAGGGTGCGAAGTAGTGGTAAAAAACGCAAAAACGCCCATAAAAACATCACAATGGAGTAATAAAATTTGTATGTACCTAATAAATCGCCAAACCAAGTTTGATGAAGATCCATCCACACCCTGCGAAGTAGTTACAGGGATATACAACTGACAACAGACAGTACTTATATAGTATTTATATAGACTAGCTGGAGTACCCGATCCCTGGACGGAGGTTATGTAAATTCATGATTAATGAAAGGTTACCTTAGGACGTGAAAAGTTGCTTCCTTTATATGTAATTGTAAAAAACGCAAAAACTCTAATAAAAACTGCAAAATACAAAATGTGCAACCGCAAATTTGCATGTGTGTCTCTGCATAGACCCAGCAAACCTTCATACCAAATTTGGTGAAGATCCATCAACAGGGAGCGAAGTACTGGTACAAAACGCTCATAAAAGCCGCAAAACTGAAAATTTGTATCTCTCCAACAAATATTCATGCCAAATTTTGGTGAAGATCCATTCACATCCTGCGAAGTAGTTACATGGACATACAATAGGCAGTACTGTTATATTTATATATATTTTCTCTATTTCTTGTAGTCTAGCTCAACTCCTGATGCTTTGTTTTAGAAAATAGGTTTTTGACTTCATTCTTAATCCGAGGTACAAAATACGATTACTGATGAGCTATAAACCAAAACATGATAATGTTAATTTAATTTTACTAAATTAAGACAAAACCAAAAAAATAAAGAACAAAATAGTTGTGACCTCACATCCTTAAAAAGAAATCTGAATGTTCAGACTGTCATATGTCTACTATGCATCATGTTAATGATTTCAACAGTTATTTGGTTTACGGTGAGACTAATACGTCCCAAGAGGGCCTGTTTTGCGTAAACATAATAAAGAAACATTACGCCTCCGTGTTTCAACGGTAATATCGAAGGCTTATAACATAATAATCGAGGTTGCCAATTGTTCAGCTTTGCGCTTAAAATCAAACAGACGAGAAGCATGACAAGGGTGAGATCAGTTTAACGGGAAGTGACAATCATGTATTCCGGACACTAACGTAATATCCGATGTTTTGCAACGAAGTTGTTCTAGGAAGACACCGAATGCTCTGCGACATGGAAAACTGTGAGAAAAATATATAGAAATGAAGGATTGTCTGTTTTGTTTGTTTGTTTGTTTTTAGAGCAAAGGCACATTGGGCTATCTGTTGTGTCCACTGCGGCTTTTAGAATTGTAAGTCAATGAACTTACCGCAGTCCCACCGGGGGACTTAGATGTATCTTGCAAAAAAATGAAGGAAACAGATGTGAGTTTAAAGGGCAGAGTCATCCTTGTTAACGTTCAGGGCATACTGAATCGCGTTTTCCTTAAGTCAAAATTTATACTTTATCTGTCTTATATATTAATAAGACAGTACAGTCAAATTAAACACATTTATTATTTTAGATATTGTTAAATAAATAAAAATCGTGATTTGTAAACATTGTATATATATAGATGTACAAATATCATGGGCTGTTCGTGAGGGTTGGTCATCACATGAATGATGAGATAGCTATTATTTTTTTTTCTTGGCTGTTGACCTAGCTTTAAAAGGAAATACCTTAAATTAAACAGCGCACAGAAACGTAGTTGCAATATTCATCACGTACAAATTAATAAAAACAACCAAATATATTGAAACATAAAATGAGTGAATGCATGAAAACGATTAAATAATAAAGGTTTGTCTCACATTCCTGGAAGCCAATATTTGATACATACTTACAATAATACAAACATCTTATTGGTTACAGCTTTTACAGTAAGGCAGAATATTTTTATAACAAGTACGAATTTTTGATCACTGGTTTTAGTGGTAGAGAAGGTTCTAGTATTTAAAGCAACATTCAACAATTTATATTTAGATATTAACTGCATTTGTATTGAATGATACATCTAAGTTTACTCGATCAAATACTGACTTTAACCCATCACACAACAAACAATTGAGTAGACTACTCAAAATACTACTAAAGGAAAACTATTGTTTTTAAACTTTACAATTTTTGCGTGCAAACCAATCAACATCATCAAAGATCTACGGTTAACCGAGAGTCCATAAACACCAATAACCATACGCCCATTTATGTCTTCTTATATCTCCCCTTCGTATTGCTAGCCGACATTGGGCAACTTGTACATAAATAGAGTTGAATAAATAGAGTTGTTTAAACATCCGTTTAACAACAAGTAAAAGCTTGGAATGGTCTATTCTTTCATTGGGGTGTTTTAAATTGTGGCGAAATGTTACAAGTTCTTCAAAGAAAAACTTTTCAAAAAAAAAGTAAATGTTGGAATGGCTAATATAAATCCTTCAAAAACAATGGAAACTATAATTATAATCATATAAATAAAAACAGAATTGTAAGGCGGTTGAAGAACACAACAGAACATACAATTTCTGTAAAGTTCGTAATTATGAAGACACATTGTGTATATGAAAAAACTTAAACTGCACAATGACTTCAAAACCAAGTAAAAAAAAAGAGCAGCACGGCAATTAAAAATGTGTTTTGTATTACTTTCTGTATAACGAGCTGGAGTACCCGTACTCTGGACGGAAGTTATGTAAATTCATGATTAATGAAAAGTTATCTTAGGACATGAAAAGATGCTTCCCTTATATGTAATTGTAAAGAACGCAAAAACGCCCATAAAAACCGCAAAACTGAAAATTTGCATGTGTCTTCCCGTGGACCCAACAAACCTTCATGCCAAATTTGGTGAAGATACATCAACAGGAGGTGAAATAGTGGTGCAAAATGCAAAACTGAAAATTTGTATGTACCTCCCCATGGACCCAATGAAACTCCAGACCCATTTTGGTGAAGATCCATCAACACCCTTCGAAGTAGTTACATGGACATACAATAGACAGTACTATTATATTTACATAGATACTTCCAAACTAAGACAACTCGCGTGAGTGTTAGAATAGCTTTCTTTCAAACGTTGTGCAATTGGAACTCTACCAGTCAAGATGATAATTATACAATCATAAACAAACAAATTAGAAATATAACTTACTGGCCATCATTTTGGAAGAATTCCATTTCTATTTTTTAATTTTAACTTCAACACATTAATACTCAAACTATTTTGAAGATATTACAGCAACTGAGAAAATCTGCTATTTAGTGTGGCCACGGAGCAGGACTAATCTGAATAACAAGTTTATTGAAGTTCATACTGCGCATGCGTCATATGCCTCAAATTGGGTTAGCGTTATCACGTTAAGCAGTATCCTGGAAATGCAAATAATTTACTTAGATGTACTTCCATATCTCCAGGAAATATACATGTTTACTTTAATATATGTCTCCTTAAAAGGGAGAGTTCATATAATGTTCAATAATGTATATTTAATAAAATAAACACATTTAAACTCGTAAGGGTGTTAATGACAGCTACTGAGAAGGTCATATAAGATGACAGCTTAGAACTTTAAGCCCGTTACGTCAAGTTTGAAAAAAAATTGCAAATTACAATGAAGACGTTTATAACAAAAATTCGAAATTTATATAAGTAAAATTATAGCTAATACAAGCAGATAAGTTTAATAAAGGAATTTGGTTTTAATCACTATTGAATAAGAAAATTAAAAGTTAAAATTTTAATATATTTAAATTTGGCTTTAATCGCTACTGCATAAGAAAATTACAAGTTAAAAAATAATAAAGCAGAAGCAGCTTACACCAGACAGTTTTAAAAAGCAAATTATTAGCCTTAATAAACTGTTAAATTAATGTTAGACTGTATGCTTTTGCTTTATCATAAAAACAAAAGTTTATGTATGAAAAATACTGTATGTTTACGTCATACCTTCACTGATATATGTTTATACATACTTACAATTACATGGTATTTATAAAATGAAATATAAATAAGTTTGTCTAAGTTACTAATCTCTGATCAGTTGTTGATGGTGATTTTTAGTACAAATCTGAATAATGGGCTTTCTACGCGCTATTCACCGCAGGGAATCGAACCTCGAATTTTAGCGTAATAAGTCTGGAAACTTACCGCTGACCCGCCTGGGGACAACCTAATCAGACAGACAGTAAGTACTAGATAACAATTTTGCTTACACATTTTGTACTTCTTAGTAATGTAGTAATTGGAGATTATTTTTCTTTGTTTATTAATATTCCTCTCCATTTTTTTCCCGGCCCGGCATGACCAGATGGTTAGGGCGCTCGACTCGCAATCTAAGGGTCGCGGTTTCGACATGTTTCGGTGGAAATCATTCCACCATTTTCAGGAGAATAAATCACGAAGTACACATGAAGTTTCTTATAAACCTAATGTACGTGCATAATTAGCATGTTTTGACAATGGCGCCATTTACAACAATGATTTTCAAAAGTTTACTTCCGTTGCTCCTGGGCCTAAATTTCTATTTTGTTTTTAACAATTTATAAGGATTCTTTTATATTTAGTTCATCTTTTACCGTTACCTGTTTAAGTATTTTTACATGAAATGAAAGCTATTGAGGAGTAAGAATTTAATTTTAAAATTCATAACTCTAGAAAGTTATTACGACTTCTTTACAGATTTAGTCCATCTTTAGCTTTATTTCTATTCTGGACATTTTCTTTTTTTAACTTTCTAGGCGATATACTGTGATGTATTAAGGCCGGAATAGAAAATTTCAAATTTACCTTTGCTTTGAAATAACTACTTTTTAACGTATTTCAAAAAAATATTTTCATCAAAGTATTTTTTTTAAATGTCAGGAAAAATTTTATGTTCATATTATTGGCGTAAAAAGATTCTCTTGTGGTACGTTTTTCAAAGTGAAACTCTTTTTTACAGAAAACTCCAAATAGTTATACCATTATTTGTTGTGAGCACTTCGGCTATGTTTGATTTTACTGCACTTCTGAAGAAAAAAAATGGATTCAAGAATAGGAATTTTCTTTCAAAATTGCTCCTCAGTGACACACCGGTATGTCTGTGGACTTAAAACGCTAGAAATTGGTTTCGATACCCGTGGTGGGCAGAGCACAGGTAGCCCATTGTGTTGCTTTGTGCTTAATAACAAACAAATAAACAATCTTTCAAAAATCTTAAATCTATAAGTTTATTAGGGCTTCTTTACAGATTTAGTCTAAATTTAACATTATTTCAATTTTTTTTAACCTTGAAAGCGATATATAATGTATTAAAGCCACAATGTTAATTTCTTGTGCTTTTCTAAGAAATAAAGGCAATAGGAGGTTTCACACTTTATTTCGCATTAAAATATGTACTTTAGCATTTGTAGCTTTTAAAAATTTCTTCAAATATTTTATTTTGATATTATTGGTGTAGAAAGATGCACTTTATATACGCTTTCAACATGGAAGTATTTTAAAGAAAATTTCCAATAGTTATATTATGATTAGTTGTGAGAACTTCGACTATGTTCAATTTTACTTCACTTCTCAAAAAATGAAAGGGATTCAAGAATAGGACTTTTCGTACAAAATTCTTAAAACTAGAAGTTTTTTAGGGCTTCTTTACAGATTTAGTCCAAATTTAACATTATTTCTATTTTTGACACTTTTATAACCTTGAAAGCGATATATTATAATATATTTAAGCCACAATGTAAATTTCTTATGTTTTTCTGATAAATAAAGACAATAGGAAGTTTTACACTTAATGTTGTTTTAAAATAAGTAATTTTGAAGGTGTTTCCCAAAAATCATTTTTTCATCAAACTAGAAAGCGTTTCTATTTTTCAAAATATTCCTGAAGTATACTTACTACGAAAAATGAATATATCAGATAAAGTGTAACCATAGAGCCAAACAATAATATTCTCGATGTCTACTTACTACAAAACAAAGATATATCAGATAATGTTGAATAATAGAGCCAAACATTAATATTATCGATGTATACTTGCAACAAAAAAGAATATATCAGATAACGTGTAATAATAGAACCAAATCCTGGTATTTTTGATATCTATTTACTAACAAATAAGGATATATCAGATAACATGGAATAATAGACCCAAACATTAATATTCTGGATGTATACTTACTACCAACTAAGAATATATCAGATATTGTGGAATAATAGAGCCACACACTAATATTCTAGATGTCTACAAACCACCAAGTAAGAGTATATCAGATAGCATGGAATAATAGAGCCAAGCAGTAATATTATAGATGTCTACTTAGTACCAAATAAGAATATAACATATAGTGTGAAATAGTAAAGCCAAACAGTAATATTCTGGATGTCTACTTACTATCAAATAAGAATTATATCATATAACGTGTAACTATAGAGCCAACACTAATATTCTGGATGTCTGATAACTACAAAATAAGAATATATCAGATAGTGTGAAATAATAGAACCAAACACAAATATTCTGGATGTCTTAAAACTACCAAAAAAGAATATATCATATAATGTGAAATTATATAGCCAAACACTAATATTCTAGATGTCTTCTTACTAACAAATAAAAATATAACAGATACTGTGAAATAATAGAGCGAAACAGTAATATTCTGTATGTATACTTACTACCAAATAAGAATATATATCAGATAACATGGAATAATAGAGCCAAACACTAATATTCTGGATGTCTACTTACTACGAAATAAGAATATATCAGATCAGGTGTAACAATAGAGCCAAACACTAATATTCTTGATGTCTACTTAGTACCAAATAAGAATATATCAGATAATGAAGAACAATAGAGCCAAACACTAATATACCTAAAGTATACCAACTACCAAAAACGAATAGATCAGATAACGCGTAACAATAGAACCAAGCACTAATAATCTGCATGCCTACTTAATACCAAATAAGAATATCAGATAATATTGAATAATAGAGCCGAAAATTAATATTCTTGATGTCTATTTACTACCTACTAAGAATATATCAGATAAAGTGTAACAATAGATCCAAACACTAATATTCCTGATGTATAATTACTACAAACAAATATATCAGATAATATTGAATAATACAGCCGAACACTAATATTTCTGATGTATACTTAAAACAAAAAAAAAGAATATATCGGATAATGTGGAACAATAGAGCCAAACACTAATATTCCTGAAGTATACTTAAAACAAAAACAAAAAGAATATATCAGATAATGTGGAACAATAGAGCCAAACACTAATATTCCTGAAGTATACTTAAAACAAAAAAAGAGTATATCAGATATCGTGTAACAATAGAGCAGAACACAAATATTCTTGATGTCTACTTATAACCAAATAAGGATATATCATATAACATGGAATAATAGAGCCAAACACTAATATTCAGGATGTATACTTGCAACAGAAAAAAGAATATATCAGATAACGTGTAATAATAGAGCCAAACCCTAATATTTTTGATGTCTATTTACCAACAAATAAGGATATATCAGATAACATGGAATAATAGAGCCGAACACTAATATTCAGGATGTCAACTTAGTATCTAATAAGAATATAATAGAGAGTGTGAAATAATAGAGCCAAACACTAATATTCTGGATGTATACTTACTACCAGATAAAAAATGTCAGATAACGTGTAACAAAAGAGTGAAGTAATAATATTCTGC